TTGAAATTTTCCTGGTGCCAGCCCGTGCCGAGCCCTGTCCAAGATGGTACCCTGATTCAGCCAACAATCATATTTACTGTATTTCGGTCCCTTCAAGTCTCCGGATTGTTAGCGCAACCAGCGAGCGGTGGTTTTCATCTGACAGCACATAGTTGTAGGCCTTAACGGGAGTCCTTGCAACTTCTGAAACTTTTTTTGCATGTGACGAATGCTTGGGAGGTTAGTTCTCGATGTTTCTCATAGGCTTTGAGGCGGTGACTAGGCCAAAACCTTAACCGAATAATTGCTATAATAGTCTTGGAGCTGGCTAAATCATTGATGCAGTTTGAGCGATATTCCAAGATTAATGGAGAGACGAATTTACAACATTTTGAATTATTGAACAGTGGATGACCGGAAAGCTACATGACGAATGAAAGAGAAAGAGAAAATATTCCAAACGATTCCAAATTTGTGGTATATTCTGTTGACTGTACTGAATCAAGAGAGAGCCAAAGCTCATTTCCTGGTGAAAAATTTATGAAAACGAAGCAATTTAGGCTCCGCACAAGGTTGGCCAGTAGAAAACAAATTTGCCTTGGTCGCGCTCTAGTTTCACCTTTCCTCCTTGATCGCGTAAGTTACACATGTTGTCCTTTTGAGGCGCATTCCTACTCTATGCGTCGGATGCATTGCTAGAAGTCACGGCACAATATGAGCGAAATCTAAAAGCGCTGCTTCTCTGCGAGCGAATCCACAGCCATACAGCCAGCTCAGGTTAGCAGTCCTGAAGTGATGTTCGTTATGGCATTGAGCCAGATCTGTTTTCACCTCATCCTCCTGTATTGTAAACATATCCTCAACATAGTAAATTATGACTGGTGAACAGTCTACTCGTCGTGCCACTTTAGCATCGGATAGTGTTATCATGGAGCACAAAGTGCAGTGTGCGCGGAGAATTGGACGGCGTGCGCTCTGTAAGTCGCTTTGTAAGCATGCATATATGGATACAACTTTGCGTGCTGTGTATATCAAAATTACCATGCATTAGCAATGTTGGACTGTTCAAACATAAATAATTCTCTATTAAGATAGTTGGAAACACAATAATGAACTTCAGCTTTCGAGAGAGCGTTACCTAAAATCCACACTACCCAGTTTAGCATATAGTTACCAAGCGGGCCCTATGAGCCTTCGATCTGCGTTCGTCCGATCCTTTGATGTGGCCTCT